TAAATCCCTGAACCCTAAACCTAAGCTATCGAGGCCCCAAGAAGCCATGGGGTTGCAACTGTCCCCGGCGATGAACCCTATACCCTGAAGCCCTGAACCCTCGAAAGGTCATGTTCCGAAATTGGGCTTTAAGGTTTAATAAACCCCAAATCCTACACCCTAAACTTGTGTTTCAGTGTTTAGGGATTTAGTGTTTCAGATTTTTTTGCAGAATGCAAGACGGCCCTTTGGCTGGATTCCCGGAAGCTATCTGATGCAAGCGTGCGCACCGGCATCATCAAGGAACTGGCGCGCCCGACACGCTTAATTAAATGTGTCAGGGGTTCTTGAGAGAGAGAGCGAGAGAAAGACAGANNAGAGAGAGAGAGGGAGAGAGCATGTCTTTGGCAAGTTGGCAAAGATGTCACTGTAGCTCTTTTGTCCTCAAAGTGATCAACCAGCAGGGTTTAGGGTTGAAGGTAAACCATCCACCGAGCTGACATGCCGTGGATAGCCTGTAGGCATCAGGTTTCATTAGGGTTTAGGGTTTAGGGTTTAGGGTTCAGTATTCTGGCTAACGACCGACATCTAACGACGCAGCTGCTTCTTACTCACCACGCCCAATGCCCCTCCATGATGCTGCAGTGTTCAGAAAGCGGAGAGCACACTGCAGTTGAGCAGCAGCCGTAACCATTGATCTTGTTCTCTGCGGCTCACAGCCCCGAAATTCCGAACCTTCAGCTAAACGCTGTGCACAGTAGAGATGGCCTCAGTTCAAGATTCTGTAACTTTGTTTCGCGATTTTAGCTTTGACGGGTCTGTGGCGTGGCGTTAGTTACCGCTCTACGGTTTTACTGTTTTACTGCTGGTTAGGGCTTACGCCCGAGTTTAGGGTGTGCGGTCTGTGGGTGCTGTATGGGGATTCACGGGTAAGCCCTCAGCATGAACCGACAACGGTCCGAGTTTGGATCCTTCGACCATGGTTTTTATGTTGGCAGAACTGCCTGCAGCAACTTGTGCTCCAGGCGCACAGTAGCAGAGGACATGTGCAAAGGCTCAAAGATGCGTTTCCTTCCCAACCCAAGCTACAAGGACAACACAATGATGGTAACCTGCTTTCTGGGAGGTTGAAGTGCTCATTCGTTCGTTCCCGTCAGATACTTTTTTGATTAGAGATATGGCAAATATCGATGGCCGTGTCGACCTCGGGGCTTTCGTGGGTCGAGAAGCCGGTTTCCTCAGCTTTGAGAGGCAGTGTGCCTAAACCCTAAACCCCTAAACCCTAAACCCTTAAACCCTAAACCCTAAACCCCAAACCCCAAACCCTAAACCCTTAAACCCTGAACCCTAAACCGTTTGAGAGGCAGCGTGTCGCTGGCGAGGAGGATCTTCTCTGTGCAGTTTGTCAGGAGGAAGCCTGGCCTAGGAGCTCTTCCGTGCTTGCCTTATGGTTTACTTACATATAAACTTACTTATAACTTACTCGCTTATAATGTCTTATAACTCTCTTTGCTTGTTGTTTCTTGCAGGAGCTAACTCTTTTGCAGAAGTTCAAATTCCAAGCCCATTGATGCCTTGTGTTGCAACCCTTAGCCCAGGAAATGGGATTTGGGGCCAAGGCCGCCGCAGTTGTGGACACCCATCGCCATCGAGCGCTTTGCCAGCTCGCAGCGGATCCAGAGAGTGGCGAGACGCTTCGTAGCCACATCATGCACACCTGGTGTGCCGAAGTGGCTGCCGGTATGGAAGCATGTCCTGCTTGTTTCGATGAGGCCACAGGGATTCAGCAGAAAACGCGCATCGGACGTATTGGCTTCGACATCGGAGGGGTCATCGTTCCGCACCGGGAAGACCGGGATGACGCGGAGGAGGACGCCGTGGGTCTCACTCGGGAGGACTACCTGCAAGTGGAGGCTGCCCCAGGAGCTCTGGTGTCCCTCTCAGTCGTAGTGGGCAGCCTCGGAAGTGAGAACCTGGGCTCGACTTGTTATGTAATAGGAGAATATAAGCTTAAGGATACTTCCAATTTTTTGGTTCCAGAATAGGGAAGCCATCTTATTTACGTTGGATCTCTATTATGGCAACGCTCCTGAGCAAGAGCCCAGGAACGTATGCATTATCTCCAAATGTGGGCCTGAAACAGAGGCGAGGACACGAGAGTGGATGGAGCATTCGGGCTTCTTTGAGCGGACGGGCATTCAACAGAAGAATGTGCACTTCTGTCGCGATGTGAAGGATAAGGCACCAATAGTGGCAAAGTTGGATTTGGATGCCTTCGTCGACGATCGCATCGACGTTCTCCGACCGATGCTATCACTTCCAAGAGTGCGTCCGCTTCTGTTCATGCTGAATCCAGAGGCACAGCGGGTTAAGACACATCCAACAGACATCCGAACAACTTAACAAGTATTCCTTGCTGTTCCCTGATGGTGCTACAGAGAAGCTCAACATTTCCTCATTTAGACTAGACCCCCACAGAAGCCAAGCCGTCCTTTGGGGATATAGGGCTTAGGGCCATTCAGGGCTTCGGGTTTATACTTGTAGGGTTTATTGGTCAAGGTTTAGGGCTCATGGGGTTTCGCCAAACCCTAAACCCTAAACCCTAAACCCTAAACCCTAAACCCTAAACCCAACCCTAGGGACTCTAAGGGCAGCCAAGACGTCCTTGGACGGTCTCCGGTGTTCTGGATACCACGCCTGGAGAAGTTGTCAGGCTGGCAAGGCGTGCTTGCCCTTTTTCAGCAATGAGAGCACTCACCGTGTTCAGCCCATCATACAATTCCACAGGATCCAATACCTATGTGGGTTAGTTCTTGAACTGAGAGAGTGTGTGTGCATGAGGCCATTTACCCATACAGCAGCCAATGTGATAAGCCGCTATGATACTATGTAACCGCTAAGCAGCCACAGCACAGCCTAACTATATGGAACTCCTACGTGACTACAGCGCAATGAACGGCTGTCTAGGTAACTGGGCTTGACCTAAGCTTGTACAGTCAACGACCCTCTAGGAGGCCAATGCACTAACGAAGCTCCATGCCGAAGATCTCGAGACCCTTGAAGAATACTCCATGGGATATCACTTTATCAGGCTGGTGGCACTATTACAGTCTATAGTTGTAATGTTTTGTAGGGCTTAAGGTCGTAGTGGGCGGCTATACCAGTGCTCATACAGTGCCATGGCCGTTACATCCTAGGACTTGTCTAGCCATTGGTCACAAGCACTTTGCAAGGACGAACAGAGCAACTGTGAGAACCAGAGTGGGAGCAGCAACAACGGCACCAGTCTACACTACACTAGCAGAATCAGCAAGAGCAACAACAAACAGCAGTGGCAGCAACAAGAGCACAGCCAGCAGCAACAGTAGCCGCAGAAACCTTGACACCGCTACCACCGCCACCGCCACCGCCGCCACCACCACCACCGCCACCACCACCACCACCACCACCACCCCAGTACCCAGACCAATACCAACCCTAACTTACTAACAGCTTCACCAATAACGCCAACGGCCCGAAACGGATGTGAGTCGAGTCGTTGCCAAGTGCCAGTCCCATGTTGCATCTATGGCCTCCGCTTGTGTACAGCCTAGAGAGACCCCTTGGTCCTTCTTTGCTTGTGGGGTTTTAAAGGAATCTTAAAGGATGACCTTTCCTTTGAAGCGATCTAGAAGGGTTTAGGGTTTCTAGCCTGGGCATAGGACCTTAAGCAGAGAAGAGCCGCTTTAATAGTATCCAACTCCGGATGGAGGGGATGCTTCCAAGCTTCATAGATGTGCCCAGCTGTCGATCCCAAAAGAGTCCTAAGTACCTAGTAGAAAGTATACGGTTTTGGGTAAGTAGTCCCACATGGGTAGTTCTCCAAATCAGGCTTCGTTTAGGGTCCTTTTTATATAGATCCCCCCCCCCCCATATAGGCACTTAGGATCTTTTGGGAATCCAGTGTACAGAAAGCCAGCGCTACCGGCACTCAAAAAGTGGGGAAGGCCAGGGGAGGAATAATTCATGGCAGCTTTTGTTGTGCCGTGGTTTTCAGTGGCACTGCTCCTGGCCAGTCCTTGCAAGATTAACCATAGTAAGACATATATCGGGATTTAGGGTTTACGGTTCCAATAATAATATACTAGGCAGATTCAGCCGTACAAAAGCGGAGCTGTTGTCATAAGTTAGCCAGCGAACACAGTACCAATCAAAGTCCGATGATCCGAATCCCCCTTTGGGTGCAGACATTCAATATGCATGAAAGCGGCACAAAACCAGTGATACTGTTCCCCGGAAGGATGCAAGTATACCACCATTATGAAACCAGGTCCCGCATACCAAGCAAGGAAGCCTGTGGGAGTTCCTGATTCCAAAACGACAGTACCTATCCCGACCCTCTTGGTTACGAATCATAGTTACCCTCCTGCCGAAGCCCGCCAAGCCCCAAAACCCTAAACCGTAAACCCTAAACCCTAAACCATACGCCCTAAACCATAAGCCCTAAACCCTAAACCCAAAGCCCTAAACCCTAAACCCTGAAACCCTGAACCATAAACCCTACACCCTAGACCCTAAACCATAAACCCTAGACCCTAAACCCTAAGCCCTAAACCATAAACCCTAAACCCTTAACCCTTGAATGCCGGCCCTTGGACCTTAAACCCTGGCTCCCCCTCATCGAACCCCTACGACCGCAACCCGTAAACCCTACTTAGAGGCCCAGGGGACTTAGTAACATAGGGTTTAGGGTTCCGTTTAGGGGTTCCTTTAAGGGTACCATAAGGGTTCCTGGTTTAAGGGCTACTGTACGTAGAGGCCCAGGGGACTTAGTAAGTCGATTATAAGTAGAGTTATAAGTGCCCTAAATGGAGATACCCCAATTTTAACCCTACGTATAACCGACTTACTAAGTCCCTTGGGCCTCCAAGTAGACCCTAGACCCCTAAACCCTAAACCCTACTTATATGGGCCTCCAAGTATATCCCCTCAACGAACCCTCAAAAGGGACCTCTTAGTTCGAAAACCCCTACCGTCCCAACCGTCTCCAAGGTTGAGGGGTGTACGGTTGAGGGGCGTAGGGTTGTGGGGTTCAGGGTTGAGGGGTTTAGGATTGAGGGGCTTAAGGTTTCGGGTTGACGGCTGTAGGGTGGAAGGGTTTTCAGCATAGGGTTGAGGGGTGCAGGCAGGGTTTAATTAAGTTTCAACATGTCAGGTCAGCAACGGTCGTCACGACCGACCGTGGTTGGCTCCCTCATCATTTCTGGTGCTGGGTTTCTTCAACGGGTTGCTTGAAATGCGTCTTCTAGGGGTTACCACGAAGGATCTATACGGACTGCTGGTGTAGAGTTTATAGTAAGCTTTAAGGGCTCAGGTTATTGGACGTACATATCGAGTTTAAGGTTTAGATTTCAGGGTCAGGGTTGCTTTCCGCTGGGCATTGCTCTTTTTTCTAACAGGGTCTGAAGTACCTATGTAGTACAAAGTAGGGTGTTGTGCATCCCTCCTTCTGGTACTTAGGATGCTTTGGGTATGCCAGCCTGAAGACATGTAGGTGGATCCGATGACTCTGAACACCTGAGCCACGGTTTAGGGACATTGCCCGAATTCAAGGAAGATCCTTCAGCAAAAGGACACCCCTCAGAGCCTGAGCCCTCAGCCCTAACACCAACCTCTGACTCTAACCTGAAGGATTTCACTGCAAGGTTATGGAGAGCCAAGCTACCACCAAGTTTTGAAGCTACGAACGCCGAGCCCTTCTCACGCGAACCGTCTCCGGTTTTGGAGCTTAGGGGTTTAGGGGTTTAGGTGTTTAGGTTTAGGGCTCAGGGTTTAGGGTTTAGGGTTTAGGGTTTAGGGTTTTAGGTTTAGGGCTTGGGGTTTTAGGGCTTAGGGGCTTTGGGTTTAGGGGCTTACTGGTTTCGGTTTAGGGCTTAAAGGTTTAGGGTCGCCAGGGGTTAGGGATGTAAGCCCCGGAAGGCCTAAACCACGAGATCCGAGACTGCAGCGGTGTACCTGTTAGGGTTTTGGGTTTAGGGTTGTGGGTTTAGGGTTCAGGGCTTAGGGTTTTGGTTTGGGTTTTGGGCTTGGGTTTTGGGTTTAGGGTTTTAAGGTTTAGGGTTTATAACGGACCCTATGGAAGGTACTGGTAGCGTTTAGGTCATAGCTCTTGTCTTGACGAGTGACCTTAAAAACAGATTGTAAAGGCATAAGCCCTCCGAAATTAGGGTTTAGGGTTTAGGGCTTCGGGGTTTAGGGTTTAGGGTTTAGAGCACCGCAAGTTCTATCGACAGGCCAAAATACTCACGACCGGGGTAGTCTGGTGGCCCGGCACCCTGCGACCCAGGGTTTTTGCAGGGCTGAGGGTTTAGGGTTTGGTAGTTGATCTGCAGCTCCTTGTGGCATAATTTAGAACGACAACTGCATGCTAAACATGCCTTTCGCGAAAGTTTTGCGTTGGCTTTGTTACAGTTAGTTTTTTTCGGCGAAAGTTATGTAAACATGCCTTCGCGAAAGTTCCGCGGTGGTTTTGTTAACGTTATTTTTGTGCCCGTGAAGAAGGACATTCCGAGATGAAGCAATTTAGAACAACAACCGTTTAGGGTTGGGGGTTTTAGGGTTTGTTGTTTAGAATTTAGAGTTCAGGGTTTGCGGTTGTCGTAGGACTTGGGGGCTTCGGATATCGGTTTACAGTTTAATAACGGGGTCGAACTAAGTAAAACTATCCCCGTGTAATCCCTGTTGGTAATAGCAGTAGCAAAGGACCCCCAAGCCTTCTTCTGATTCTTCAGTTACCTGAAAAGCCAAGTAGCCCAAAATAACAGACTACCCTACCCTAAAGTAGCCCAGAATTGGCTCAAAGTAGCCCCCTACATACAGACTATTGGCTTTCCAGGTAAGACCTTTGATGTTAAGGCTTTGTAGCTAAAGAGTGAGGGCTCCGGGCCAAGTCTAAGTTGTCAGATGGAGTTTGGCTCATCCAGAGGATGCAGGTACCCGAAGTAGCAAGATTTCGGGTCCCAAGTACTGTACTCCGAAAAGCTGCTGCTAAACCCCTAAACTAAAACCCCTAAAACCTAAACCCCTAAACCCTAAAACCCTAAACCCTAAACCCTAAGGTATCACACGGGTACTTGGGCCCTTGGTCTCAGATTTGTGCATTGAGCTGAGCAGTTAGGCTTGGGATCTTCAGACAACAAATTGACAAAGGGCCCAGAGATGAACCATAAAGAGTGGGTTTTGAGGGTTCTAGGGTATAGGGTTTAGGGGCTTAGGGGTTTAGGGCTTAGGGATTTGGGTTTTTAGGGTTCTAGGGTTTAGGGTTCTAGGGTTTGGGGGAGTCCTGGTGAAAGGGCTCTATTGTTTGGAGTTTTAAATTAGAGCTATACCCAAGAAATACCATAACTTTCTGTTCTGTGGGTTAAGAAGCCCTCATACAGACTTCGTAGGGACCCTATGTAAAATGAAAGCAAGTGTTGGTGGTTTAAGGTTTGTGTTTAGGGTTTACGGCCGGGAATTGGGGTTGAAACGGAGCCCGAAACCTTGAAACCTCTATCAATACCCCTGGACCCCTAACCCCTAAACCAAGCTCTATGGCCCAAGCCACGGCCTAATTACACAAGCCCGATACCTGCGAAAAAGAGCAGCAATTGAAGATTATGGACATAAACATGTATGTGTATATATATATATATACACACAAATAAATAAAAGCATATATATATATATGTGTGTATATATATACACACACTACCTATCTATCTATCTATCTATCTGTCTGTCTAGCTATCTATCTATCTAAATCTATCCATCTATCTATCTATCTACCTATCTATACAGGGTCTATGGTCCCAACAAATTTTATCTGAGTGGTTTGTGGTGCTTGAGACCCTCCTGGTTTGG